GGCATCCCGAGACCGTCCTGTTCGCTCCTATACATCCGGTCGCCATCCTTTCCCCCTTCCGTTGTCGGGCTTGTTAGTGATGGCTTTAGCGTGGGCGGTTCGGTCTACGCCCGCTAATTTTACTTTGGCAGGTTTCTTTTTAGCCGTCAATTTATGTCTATTCGTCGACACTTCCGCCCACGCATTCCTTGTACCCCACCCACGTTACCCCTAATTCATCCGAACGGGGCCTATAGGTTAATTTGCACTATCTCTTCTTCGTAAAGTTAGATTACCGTTGCCACCATTATGTCTATAGTTGGTGGGCACTTAGTCCTCCCCCCGTGGATTCGTTTACCGGCTGCACCAATTATAGTCTGTCCTCTGTGACGTCATTGATACTCACAGAGGACCACAGACACAGACTTTCGTATTAACAATAATTAACAAGAAACAAAAACAAATATACACTTAATAATCTACTTACACCCTAGCTCTGATAGACCTACTATCCCTGATCGCGGAGAGCGATCCTAACCCGATGAAGGATGGTTTTGATCTTGTGGCATTCGCCACTCCTACTTTTGAAGCGCGCCCAAAGCCTAGCTTCCGTGACGGATGTCACGCTGGACACCAATGTTCCTTCCTGCCGCACCAAAACGCTGAGGTGTTGCACTCGATCGCACGCGGAGCGATCTGTATCCGATTGAGATCGCGTTCTGTCCGAACATTACCCAAAACCCGTGAATCGGGCACTCAACCACTCCTTCACCATCGGAGCCGCGACAGCCGAGCATCAAACCAAGACATCCCCACCGTGATCTACGCACGTCCCAACACAACAAGGGACCTGAAAGTCCGCAGGTTCGTCAACTAGTGACTCGAAGCCTCGTAGCCTGGCTCGCGCTATGCCACGTCGTGGCGCCAAGTTTTGTGCACACGCACGAGTTCTCCCACCGTCTCCAGAACCCCCATGGCTCTTACCCTCTGTTATATAGGGAGCCCACGCTGACCCTACCACGTCACGCCACCCCCTCGCTTGTTTATAACAGTGAAAATTTCTATAGGCCGGATACTCCCAAAGCTTTGAGTCTCTCGTTTCCGCGTTCTTCACATTACGAAAAACCTTTCTTCCTGTGGCGAGGCTAATCCCCACCAAGCGTCCCCAATAGATTGCCATGAGGCACGCTGGCTAATACGTTACAATATTACAGAAGATATTCTGTAAATAAAGTCATATAAAATTGTAGTTGATTACAAAATTATTGAGTTCTTTAAACAAAATGTTTAACTACATAATTAGTTTGCAAGCAAGTAAAAATTGAAACCCCATGAACTCTTAAGTTTTAAGTAATTACATAACTAATTTTTAATTTACCTTGTCATACATGCGACTGCTTCCTTTATCTCCATTGGCTTCATCATCACTGTCACTAAATGTGGATTGTGAGGGATTTTGCTCTTCTTTCAAAAATAGTTCCAACAGACGAGAAAAGGCAATGCCACTTAGCATACAGACAACTGGTGTTAATGTCAGCATAAGTCGAACCATAACTCCAGCAAAATATACAGCACTCAAAGCATAAAGAACCACTGTTGAGCAAAAACATTTTATATAAATAGCATATTATAACAATCGACAGACTTACGAGTAGTTTGCAAAAAATATACTTTGTACATTTCTACATGCAGTTGTGAAAAATACAAAGAAGTGCATACAAAGTTTCATACATGCTTTTTTTCAAATGTCGAATCTTTCTTACAGCATACACTAATTAATAATTTCATTTTATACATGCACAATAATATATGTCACAGTAGAAACGCAATCTTAAATATTTCAGTTTTGAAAAATTGTTTAAAACACTCACAGAGTGAACAGAAGTAGACAATCCCTCAAGAACAACAGAACAAGTGATATACACTAAAACTGATCTGAAGAATGTCTCTTGTATGCATATTTACTTGAATAATCCCAGCAAATTTGTTTCAGTGGCAGTAAAGAAAAAAGGAAGAAGAATCTAACATGCACTTGTCTTCAAATGAACATTTTAGGAATAGGACTTGTGTACATGTTTCTGGATCACCCACAATTAGAAAATACTTGGGTAAAGGGCACTGATATTGGAAAACGGCAATAAATAGTGACAATCTAAAAGATATCTTAACACTGCTCAATAATGCGTGCATGATTATCACACAAAGCAATGCACAGATGTGGCTGAACAGTCAAGAAAGCATTACAGGCATCAAAAATTTTAATTAACAAAACCAATACCACTTTTTAATTGATAAAATTTCAGTACTGATGCTCTGATGTTAGATGAAATGGACAGGGCACTTCACATTAATCTCAAATATATTTCCATTTACTTAGTAAAATTTCATTAGGAGTTCATCCAACATTTGCATTTTCTCTACCCTGGTGCTGATCATATTCAGTGGCAGGGATTATTCCTGTAAATATGGTTACACCAGAAATGTGTACAGATCAATTTGAGAATATCTGCATCATCCTTAAGCATGCTTACACAAAAAAAATGTTTACATATAATTTGTTAAAGTTCAAAAATGACTGAATTACACTCAGGTTAGGAAAACATTTCAAAATCACAATGTCATCAAAAAACCACAAAAATAACCATGTGAACATTCATCATCATGCAATTGTTACATGAATGTGAAGTGTCACATAGTCAATGATCCACATCAAATCTTTTCAATTGCTACTTTTTAACATGCTTTCTTGCAAAAATAATTATTTACACATGAAACTGTGCTTCCAAGGAAGTAAAAAAGAAATTGCTTTAGAAACCATTTCACCCCCACAAAGTTAGCATACATTTCGGACAAGAACACAACTTCATCTAATAAAATTAAAATATAAAATAATAAGTTAAATTGAAACACACACAAAATATATAGCCTAAATACCATTTTTTATGACAATATATTTCTGAAATAAACTTACCAAAGACCCTCTCATCAGTTATATTCTTTATACAATACCACAAACCCACAGGAAATGTGGTAACTAATATATGAAGATCAAAGAAAAATGAAAACCATGTAGTTGGTTGATGTTCTGACACTGAGGCTATGATTGGTATATGAATCTTAGCATAACCAGTATCCCAGAGTGAATAGAATCTAGATAAAATCAAGAAAAAGAAATACAATTAGTTTTATTCCAATCATGGTATTTTAGAACGTGTATTTACTGTATTATTAGTACGACCGAACTACTAAGAGAGACGAAAACAAAAGCCTTATCTTCATGGCATTACAAAAGAAATGTTTGTATATGTATGTATCATCATCCTATTCCATTAACAGTGAGAAAGATTATTATATGCAACTTAAATATACAAAATATGACTAGTGTGTATTTATATGTAATACATCCCACTTGGTAGAGTCAAAGTAATTATGAGAATACTGAATATCTGCGAACTTAAAACATGCTCCAAGTATACATTGTGCATTTACTGAAGTATCCTGCAGCGGAATTTTAACATCAATATAGTAAGAAATATCAGAAAGAGATAATAAAAGTTGAACAGTAATAAGCAAGTCATACAATGAATTAAATAGAATTTATTTTATAATAATTAAATAATTCCAAGAAATATTTAAAAGAAAACCTGGTATACAAGATAAGTGGCTTCTCAGGCCCCCCACCCCCTCAAAGATACATATTCAAAAATAAAGCTGTTACTAATTTTCTATACCAATGAGTCACTCTAGGTGACATCACTTATTGTTATAAATACAGTAAAACTTGTCTAAGATGGAACCTGCAAAAAATTTCCTGCAAAATATTTCTGATTTGTCAGGTTTCTGTCTTATAGTGTGTTGCCAAAAATTCAACATATAACTTAAACTTTTTATTTTGAATAAAATTTTGTTAGTGGAAAAAATTAAAGAAAATGAGTAATAATTTGCCTATTGCAGGAAATAAAAAAAAACAATGGAACAAAGGCAAAATATTGGATAAGCATTTATTCTGCATTTTCTTTTGTTTTTTGGAAGGTTTTGCATATATGCTTTATTGACATTTTGACACACTAGCACACAGCTTTCCTACACTTTATTGCGAGAGTTCACTAAATTGTGTTGTCGACACCTCGTCAACACTACGACTCCAATGCTAAGATGACAAGACAGCTTTTCCACAATTCCATTGTAGATGTAAGGAAATGTGATGATGCTTTTGAAAATAGAACCGATGCAGACGACCAACATTAAGGGCTCAGAGCTACACCGATGAAGTTGCACTTGTAGCAACTTTAAAAACACACATCAAAGCTTGTAAAAATCACAGCAAAACACATTGAGTTTGTCAAAGATTCGCTAATAACAGGAACTCATTGTTCACTACTGTCTCAGCATTAGACCCATTGCACAATGCCATTTGAAAGAGAGTGCAGGAAATTAAAAATAAATATACATCTTTGACAAGTAATAATTATTTGACATTCCCTAAAAACCATTCCATTTCTAGTTTATATAGATAATTTTCACATAATCGTTGCATTCTGAGATCTTTTGCCTGAGATGGCAGGTTTTCATCTTAGAGGTTTTTACTATTAACAACAAGTCAACAAATAAAATACAATTTTTAACATTCAGCATAAATGACACATTCTTTGTAAGAAAATATCAAGTTGGCTGGACACTAAAACTGTACCCCCTCTCCTCAGAGGAGGAGGATAACCCGGGTACACAAGATCAAAAAACGTTATCAGTTACTTCAAATAAAGACAAAGTTGCTGCCTAACATTGAATTAAGGAAACAACCACCTAATTCACATTCGAACATGTTCTATTGTAATCACAAGTTCTCCACAATACACATAATTTAATAGACCAGTGAACTTTCTCCACAAGAATAATAATGAATGAGAACCTAAGAAAGTGCCCACAAATACTAGAGGTCAATAATTATTTTTCAAATATAGTACAATGGAAATCTGCACCATTACTGTATTTATCCGATTGAAACCGACATTTCCCCCCACTTTTTTGTAGTTAAAAAATTGGCCCTCGGCTTAGATTCGGTGTCAGCGTGTTGCTATAAGTAGTTGATACCAGACATACATAAAGATATCTATTTTTCATTGGCCATGCAGCCGACATGGTAGAACGTAGAAAAAATACCTTAATTTGTTGTGTTCAAACACAAGACACTCCCAAAATCAGAGTCATTTCCTAAGAGCGTTATTGTACGTGCAAATGAAAAAGGGCGGTTTACCGAAGACATGATGTTAAAATGGGTTCAGTTGGTGTGGCATTGTCGCCCTGGCACTTAGGCGAGGTTACAGGTCCTGGTTTTACTCTTATGCGGGCATCAACAAACCATTCAAAGACAGTTTGAAGAAAATATAATCAGACTGGCTCTTCAAAGAAGACAGAATGCTCATGTCCATGGGGCGTGTGAAATGGGCTAGTCTATTGCTTGGATAGATGATGCCTAGAAGAGTATTCCTAGAAAAGTTGTCACTAGGGCTTTTAAAAAGTGTTGAATATCAATTGCCCTTGACAGCAAAGATGACTTCCTTATCGTGGGCAAAAGTGACAAAGAGTCAAGTGAGGAACCTGAGTCGTCTGATGATGGCATCTGAATCTATGATCTCTAATTATAAAAAAATTACTGGTCTGAGTGTGTGAAGCATCAAAATGTATTATGTAATGAACTGTTTATGTTTAATAAATAAATTTCTTTTTTTTTTTTTTTTTTGTGTCATTATTTTGTTTATTTCTTGGGGTCAGCTTATAATGGAGTAAATATGGTATGTACATATGAAAATTTTTTGGACTTTAATGATTCATCCCATTTGTTCCATGTTATTTTGCACAATTGGGTCATAAAAAATGAACACACAAATGCAGGGGCGGATCCAGAGAAGAATTTTGGAAGGGGAAAATCAAATATTTTAGTCAAATATGTCATATTACAAATACTGTAAAGTGTCACAGGCTACACTCAGCTCATGCTGCGATACAATTTTATTCGTTTTAATGATAAACCAATATATTTTTGCTTGAATATCACATGACAAGATAAAATAATTCGTTCATGAAATATTTTAGGGGGGAAATTTCCTTCATTTCTCTCCCTGTGGATCCACGCCTGTAAATTAAAGCATGACTTTAACTGATGTTACCACTTAATTAGTAAAGAATGGAGGTAAAAATGTTACTTTCAGGTGAATGATGGAAGTGTTCAAATTTTAAAAATGGCATCTGACATTTAGATGATATCCAGATCTTAAGAAGTAGTAGCACTCTCTAGAAAGTGTATTCAAGAATGCTCAATAAATGGCATCAATAATTGATTCATTTGTTATGCCATGTGTGTTTTATATAAGTGTGTTATTGCAATGAAACTTCGAAAATAAAGTGATATGTCAGATACCATTATTTACACACAATGCCTCATTTATACTTTAAAAATTTGCCTTAATGCAGGAGATGAAATGAAAGATCCCTCATACTTACCTACCACTCCAAGGAGCAATAACTCCGGCATAAGTCAAGACAACTACAGTAAAGAAAACAACTCCAGCTGCTATCGATGCAGCTAATATGAAGAAATATTTAAATTCTGCTCGAGACAATATGCTCTGAAGGTACTTCAACACCAACATTGCCATTAATAAGGCAAAAACACCTGATGACAAATATAAAAGTTTTCAATTAATTTGTTGTGATGATTAATCATATGATCAAGCAGACAAACAAATCACAAAGAAATGTTAAAACTGTGAGGCTCCAGTTTCAGCTTCCACATTTGACAACCTTGACGCTGAACCAGGGGTTTGCAAACTGTGGGTCGCGGCTTCCAGGGGCGAATGGTAGGGGTGTCATGATGTTTTATTAAAGATTTATCTTTAGATTTGATTTACTTTAATCCTTGCGTCATTTATGTCCACTAAATTTCATACAATCATACTATATATTATTTGTAATATACACTATTTATTTTACTAATTATTTGTGGATTGATTGAATCTGGCAAGTCCTGTCAATGAGTTTTAATTCCTTTTACAACATCCTACTTATGCACGGAAGGATTTTCAGAATTGGCAGTATTGAAAACAAAACACGTACTGAAATTAAAAATTGCAAAATAATTTAAGACTCCGTTTCAAATATTGAATGCAGGTTTGAAAAATTGTTGTTGCAGAATCAAGTTTTAGAAGACTTATCAGAAAATTATAAGTTGAATAAACTTATTTTCATATCCAATTAGAATGGAGAAATAAAATAGCCTATTATAGCACCAACTCATTTGTGTTGAATCTTTATTAGGCCTACATTAACCATTATATTTGAAAATTATTGTCACCAGGGGAACTGCGGGAAGTTTTGTTTAGGTCAAAGGAGCCATGGACAAAAAGAGTGAAATTCCCTGCTCTAGACAATGCAGGATCATACATTTTGATGCCACGTAATTTATAATATTAAATATTGCCACCCCTTCCACCTTAATCACTGTTCGCTAAAGAAGTGGTCATGTTGAAGTGAAGTTCAGCTTCTTTTTTTAAAACAGCCTGAATAAAATTAACCATAGTTTTTAATCTGACTGTTTTGATTTTTCACAAATATTTAAGAATCTAGTAAAAAAAAGGGTATGCTCATGCAGACTCCTTTACAAATGATCATTTGGTGAGTATTTCTACTCTACACAAGGCTGCCACTAACAAGGAATGTGGTACAAACCTGCTGCTGCCATATGCTCACTCGTACGAATTGGTTGGAAGCCAACAAATGGAATTTGCATACTCAAAAGGAGACCTAAAATGTAGAATGTTGTGTAGCTAGTAAAAAGTCGATCAGAGTAACGACCCATTATTAACAACACAAACACATGAAGAGGAATTAAATTGATTATGAAAACATAGCCACCCCATGCTGAAACCTGCAAACAGAGAAACATCGCAGAATACAGAATAAATAATACTATGTATATAAACAAAGTAAACTTTAGTAAAAGTCACTGAACATTAGTAACATAATCATTACTATTCTAAAAAATTCATTAACATTATGTGTAATAATTATTCATAAATTCACTGCACTTGAACACACAAAATATAAGGATATTTCTAGAATTGGTGTCACTTCCTCACCCCAACCCCTCACACACACTTCACAAAAATATACACTGTCTAAAAATTTTTTAAGATAAAAGCATGTTTTTGTTGCATTTCAGTAGTTGTTAAATGTCAATTTTTAGGGAGATGCCAATGACTAATGCAATTTAATAATATATTATAAAAATTTCCTTCCCGCTCTCTTTACTACGTTTAGTTTCATATAATTAGAAAAAGGTATTAAATAATACAATTTTTGGTAAAATTAGCATATGACATTTTTAATTGAAACAATAAAATTATACACATTTCAATTAAATTTTATATTGGTGTCACTCCTACAATGGAATCGCTCAGGACAAACCATTCTACTGCTTCTCCCTACATGCCACAGCTAAAAAGTAACAAACAAGAATGTCTCATCCATTTTCTCAAATGTTCAAAGAATTCCCACAAAGTTCTCAAAAGCGCACATTTTATTAAATATTACAATTTTATAATCACATCTTACCATGTAGAAGTACGACAAAGAAGCCATGCATGCCCAAAAAATAGATCCTGTCTTCACAGATTTAACCTGAAAAAAATATTCATTTTAATGTTGTTTGTACACAAAATAAAATGTAAATTAAGAAGTGATATTAGAATTGTTTGAAGACCAAAATAACCACTATACCCAAAGGTAGTAGGTAAACTGGAGAGCAAAAATCGCTATTCCTTCATTGTCATAACTTCCTGCAACTGAACGACTAATGTATCCTGGTACAATTGCAATAAAACAAGCTGCAAATAGGCCTGCACCAGCTGACCACAATTCTTTTGTCAGCAAATAGGTTGCAATGGCAGTCAAACCACTGGAGAAAAAAAAAAGGACAAATGAAAGATGACACGCAATTTGCCCTAACTATATCTCGTCCACTTGTAATGTCTAATTACTAGAAGTTAAAGGAAATAATTTTTATACCTGAAAACTGGAGCTAGAAACACACAAATATCTCTGATATGCACTGGAATATTGAGACTATGTAGGATATAATGTATACTTCCAGATGTTATCATGAGGCCAGGGTACACTGTACCTCCAACAATTCGACCCAGTGGGTACCATGCTCTCTCATCAAACCAGTTCAAGAAGTTGTAAAATCCATTTTTAACCATGTACGCAGTTGACCTATAATTAAACCTAAAAAAGATACAATGGGCGTTACTTTCTATTTTAAATTTTGATCTGCTTGCAGTACACAAACTCTAAAATGGAAATTGTGGATTATCAGTAATAAGATACTGTTATTTTATGCATTCGCAGGTATTTAACAAATACTACACGCCATTTCATAGTAGAAGTATAATTTTTAGTAAAGTTCACGAGAATTAAATGCAGAGCAATCTCTGGTAAATCAATATAAAATTAAGTAACAATACTGTTTAGCATACGTGTACTACTTCATACCGGCAAGTTGACACATACTTACCAAGGGTCAAATTCGTGAATGATGCTCTCGAATCGAATAACTGCAAATAAACGAGATGAAAATCCCGATATCCATGCTAAAAGAAGAACAGTGAAAGTAATAAGGCTTTTCCATCCTGAGGAAGAAGAGGTTCTTAAATATCCACCGGAATCAGGCACCATTTTCACACTCGCAAGAAGTGCGATGTTCGGATGTTACAACGAAATCGACATAGGACGTGGCGTTGGCAATGCTTATTAGAATGTTTTAGATGTTCAAGGGAAATCTTAGGAAGAGCGGCGAGACACCGAAATAATAAACATAACTTATGTTCTGCGTATGTCGAAAAGTGCGGGAGACAACGAATCTAAAGACCCCCTCACCTGCACCTCACATGCGGTCGCAGGTGGCCTGTTTTCATAGGACTGTGCCTGGAAATTTGGGCGTGTTAGCATCGAGCTACAATAAAAGCGGGAAATATAAGTTTTAAATACATATTTGCCATTGTCATTTGAACACAGTATATTTACTAGTAGTTACAAAATTGAATTGAAGCTGTGAACTTTTACAGTGAAGAGAGATTAACCCTAAAAACAAACGAAGAGATTAACCCTAAAAAAAGAAAAAAAACACGAAGTGAGCATGTAGGCGCGAATGGATTGTTGATTCTGATGATTCTGAATTTGCAGTTTCTATTCGTGAAGTTAAAAGTGTTTTCAATTATTTTAAAGAGATATGTTCAATGGTCTACATCAAGAATAAGATCAGACTCCCAGATAGCATCAAACAACTGGAGACTTCTGGATTTCCTTTGTAAGAATCTGTTGCCATAATGAAAAATGCTACCGACCAAGTGGAGGCTGTGCAGGGAGAAATTGGTGCCAGTGTACTTAATAAATTAGAAATGGTATAGAAAAGAAAACCACGATATTCGACATTTCTCGGTTTGAGTAGAATTGTAAGTGGGGACATACTTGATATTTGTAAAGACATGTGACAGAGAGATCGTTCTCTGCCTTCAAGAATAGTCTGCCTGACTGACGTCAGTTAATAACTCCGGAGAACTTGGAGGAATATGCAATTGCTCACTATGCTGCCAAGATTACTGAGTATATGTTCTGTACAATGTAAATATGAAACTAATATAAATACATTACACTATTTCACAATTTGGAGTATTTTACGTTTTCACGAATTTCACTACGTGTATTTGTATTGTACATACTTCGCAACTTGATGTTACATATAAATCCCAGCTTTGTACGTGACTATGGCACACATATGCCTTATAATCGGGAAATAAATAAGGTGAATATATGTTATTTCTAGCATCCATAGCACTCTGTAAAAGAAAAAAAAATGAGAGGAAAAAGCAACCCTGAAACTCGCAATGCATTTAACGCAGCGGGGCGGGCAGGGCAGGCAGTTGATTGAAGATTACGGGCGCGTTGACTGCTAAGGTCATTAGTTCACGTGCGCATGCGTTTTCCTCGGGAGTGAAAGTAAGGTGCGTGAGAAAGAAAAGGAACCATTAACATAAAATAATACTGATTAAAAACCAAACTTTCTCAATGTTATGGTTGTAGTCCGTGCGGAGCATATATACAAATGATAATATGCGAATCGTAACATTAACCGGCTTTAAAACACTTATGGCAATAAAGGGCGTCCATTGTGTCAGATAACTAGTGCCACGAAGCTGCACAAGCGCATTGATGTAAAAAGTCGGAGTTCCCAGGAGGCCACAGCTGGTGCTATTGAGCTTTTTAAACAAACATGCTCACCAAACCATTAATAAAGATCCTTTCACTGGCGACAGAACCTACCTGATCTTGCTCTGCAACTTAACATTTTTCCACAAAACTGAAATAATATACTACTTCTATACTCGGGAGTGACTTGTTGTAGCGAAAACTCTCATCACAGATCAAGTAAAATGAATTTCCCTATTTCAGTACATTCAGCGTTTATTATTATAAAACAAAGTATTGATCCAATACACCCAAATCGGCAAAGTTGACTAAGGGTACTGGGGTTCGAGTCCTGACGCTGGCAGGATTTTCGACGAAAGCTGGCGGCTGCGGCCGGCTAACGGCCGGCTGCTGGGATCAGTATTTTCCGTGTTTCTCCGATCAAAATCAGGCGAATGCTGGAGCAGTAATGAGAATGCCTAACAAACGGGCCAGGAGTCGCGCGCAATCTTTCTTTTCTCTTCCTTGTCCTATCTTCGCTCCTTTTTTAAACTCACATGTACTACACTACCACACGTGTTGGAAGACCAGACGTAAGCTTACAGCTTGTTCTGTTTGGGGCGGTGCCTCGCTGGTGGGAAATACCTTGTTAGGGAATTCCCTCTTAAATCGACGAAGTTCGGTGCCTGATCTCGCCATTCAGCGGGAAAAAGATCACCCCCCCCCGCGGTTAACACATGCACAGCACTTACGGGACTAATCTTAGCCGTTGACGGAATCACTAATCAATCCATTACGCTCAATTAACCACATGCAATTTCAAACAAGAGCATGCACAAGATTTTGTGTTGTCCACCACAAAGAAATTGGGGATGTTTAGATTTTAAGAAACCGATTGAAAAGCAAACAGTATCTAATTAAAATTAATCAATTAATTGAGTTATCAATCAATGTATTAAGTTGCATAAATTTCACCAATTACATATACTGTACAATTATTCTTAATACAATAAAAATAGAATAAAAGAAACAATAGAATAAAAAGAGAAAATGCAATAAATAAAGTAATGAGCAAATTTCGATAAATAAAAAAAATGTTGCCCTTTCCATTGAATAAAATCTTAATGTAATGCTAGGGATTTTCTTTTGGAACCAATTAAAACTTTCAACTAATGGAGTACCTCAGGATTTCAGATACCCCTTTGTTTTTATATGTCGATCTACCTTAAAAATATCAAAAGGGTGGAGTTTTACTTGGAATATAACTGAACAGAGCTACACCAGAGGCGGATTTAGAGACAGATTTTGGGAGGGGAAATTTAAAATGTTTTGGTTGAATGTGTCATTACAGATTTTGTAAAATAATGCTGGCTACATCTAACTCGTGCTGCAATACAATTTTATTTGTTTTAATGATCATCCAAAAATATTTTTGTTTCAAAGTTTAGTGACAATTTAAAATTAATAGTTACAGAAAAATTTTAGTGGAGGAAATTTCCCTCATTTCCCTCCCCATGGATCCACACTTGGCTATACTCCATCTCTCCCCCAGTTGGGTTGGGCAGGGAGGGAATTATAAGGAACTGGTCACATTGAGGTTCTCAATTACTCTTTCACAACACGTAAGAAATTGAAATAAAATCTTCATGATATGTACTTCATGATTTCTCTCATCCTAAAAGAACCAGTATGATTTTCAGGCCCTGCAATGTAGAAATTCCACTGAAACTTTGATATTTTTAAGTAGGAGTATATGATGTAATTAGTATAACTAAATTCTGAGATTTGGTGACATAGTCCAGTTCCAGAACACTGAATGTATACTATTAATAGATTCCAGGGACAGTTTCTTGATTTTAAGCCAAGCTCTCTTATGTAATGAGGCCATGAATGTTTACAAATACATCTCTATGTGCAAATCATTTCTCATAGAAGTAAATAAAGGAAGAAATATGAAATGCTTATGATGAATAAATTATTTGAAGGAAATATCTGATAATACTTTTTGACATCAAATCTCATCAGAAGCATAATAATGTACTGAGCTCCAGTTCAAAAAGTCCGAATGGGGTCTCTCATTGCCACTGCCATCTTTATTGGAAGTCAGAGGATGCCTCGTTCGAGGACCTTGACTTCAGGGTTTGGTGATTGCAGTCTATGCCCCTGACATTTCCTGATTGGCCTCAAAAGAATGAATGAAATATATTACCTGCAATCTTAACAATACCTCACTTATTTTAACTGTTTGTTTTATTTATTATATATTTAAAATATAATGCAGTTCTGAATCATGTTAAAAGAACCTAATTCCTTGAAGTGATATGACCTCCCTCTTGCATTTCTCGCATGCCCACCTTCTTCTCCCCCCTTCATAGATTACCTGACTTTATGTTATAATCACTCTGACTTTCTTTCATTTAACAAATGATCAATTGTCTTTCAAATTCATAACAAGTTAACTAATATTCATTGACAAGGAGTATAAAATAGCGATATGCAATGAAATTGTTAAGGGCAATAATAATGTGGCTAGGTAAGATAAATCCTCTTAGGGCTCCTGGGTTCACCTGAGAAGTTCTGGCATAAATTAAAAGATACATTGTGAATGTAGGATAAATGAAATTGGGAATGTTAAAGGAAAGACAATAAAAAATCTTTTAAAACTAGTAAAAATATACTCTTCAAGTACAAGAGTCTTCTATATGTTTATTTTGCACCCAAATATGGTACAAAACCTCAGAGTAATAAAAAAGCAACCGGAGTTTCCACAATACCATAACAAGTAATTACATTCAATAATATACAATGAGATTTTATGAAATGGCTCCTTTCTTGCTGGGCATCAGTTCATATAACCTTAACCTATCAATCATTATATATTATATATTCATATATACTGTATATAAAAAGCACAGGTCTCGATAAGCTTAACACAATACGTGTGTACCAAAAAGCACAAGTCTCATAAAATTTGAAGCAGATTATGCATAAAATATTTATACAATCTTAGCACATACTTTCTTAATAATATAAATCTTCTATTAATGTTCTCAAACAATTTCGATCTTTTGGCAGACAGAATGCACTCTGATCTCAGACTCACGAAAATTTGTACATTTTTGCAACAATCTAATGTGATATACACACACCATGGCCAAATGCTGCTATGCAGCCATGACCGCTTTCCTGCACTTTTGTGCATCCAACACGATCTTTGACTCATGTTCAACCATGATGGCACTTTCTTTAGCAACTCATATCAAGACTAATGCAAAAAAAGAGTATATACAAAGGAAAAGGGTTTCATGCTATGATTATCTAACTGTCATGTAATCTGCTATGGACTTGTAGCACTAGTATTATCTCTTCCCACAAACTACCTTTTAAGATCTATTCTTATAAATAAAAAATGAGGCATGATAATACATACTGGCAGTTTTACATTAAGTACCATTGTCTGAATTGTACTTACACACAGATGCAGTTAACTTCACAAAATTTCAATGACAAGTATGTTAGTGTACTGATATTCCAAATAGTCAGTTATTATTAGAAACACAAAAATTTAATTGTAACAGATATAGAATTGTCTATTTGTTTAAAATTGTCAGCACATTTTCTTTCATTCACAAATTGTGTTTCTGACAATTCCTGGATAATTGTATATGCATTTTTGAGGTTGAGAAAGGTATTAATTTAAGAATGAAAAGGAATTAGCTAATTCATGAAAACTAAAACATTTTTTTCTGTCTCTAAAATTTTTGAAATTATCAACAATTTTAATAAAATTCTGAAAATAACAACTCTTTACTTTGATTTTGTATTTATAAAAGTGTAACCAATTCAAAATTTGCAACAAAAGAGGGATTTTTCAAACAAATAAGTGAATGAGGCAATAAAAATCATACATTTATTATCAATGACTTGAAGAAAAGAAGTGACCAGAAAAAAGGCTTCACTTTCACCTACTTATTTTTAAAACATTTTTGTTCACTAAAAATAATATTTGAATATATTTGTACATGCTGTCCTTATACACAATTGATGGACATATTTTGTTTTGCGTTGTGTACAACTACTACACAAATTTTACACATGTGAGATATGTTAGTAAAGGTAATGCATTTTAGTGGACTACAAAGTTGAAGTTACAACAAAATTTGTGAATTTGACACATGTTCATCATGGTAGCTTGTTACAAAAAATGAATTTGAACACAGACAAAAAATACTGTTTCAGCTACCGTTTGTGATGAAATACAATCATTTGTTAGTGTTTACAATTTATTTCATACTTATGTTTTGCGTATTGAAGTATGTTCAGGCAACCAATGCTATATTAAAAAATGTAAAGAAAAATTTGCACTTTGAGATCTGCTTTAAGGTTTGTTTAAAATCATTTTTACAATAAGCACAGAAATTAGTTAATTTTTAAATTTATTCTTGACATTAAATACACGGTATCAAAAATGAAAATACGCAGAATATACCAGACCTATGAACTAAAGAGAAGACAGTATAAATCCACTACCTATGTTGTGAATGTTTGGAGGTATAGTTTGAAATTTTCAAGAAAATATTTTTCTGCATTGCCATGAATTATTTCACCTCCAAGATAATTGATTTTGTGTAATGATAAAAGGTATATATTTAGAGCTTTTATCATTTTTAAAACATTAAAACCAAATGTAACATTTCCTATTAAATGTCATAATCAATATAAAAATTATAACTACAGGAAAATTACACAAAAAGAAATATAAAACTTTTTTTATTGAAATGTCCCTTGGACATTTGAGATCAACAAGTCTTGAAACACTTTAATTTGTCTGTGACACAAACTACTAGATCCTTGTGGAAATTAATGAACTTGTATTTGACAATTATATTTTGGCAATGATCTTCAGATGATTATGACATTATATTTGTAATAATAAGTGAATGCAGTTTATCTAGAGTACAGAGTGATGAGGCTTGTTAATGTATGTTCAACTCTGAGTAACCAGAGAACCTTCTTCATGAAAACATTAACTTCCATTCTGATACAGTGGTAATTCAGGTAATATATACAAGGTCATTAATCACTGGAAAGATCTTAATAAATCCAGACATTCAAGACCATCCTAAGTACCTTTGCAATATTTCTGCCATTCTTAAATAAATAATGTGATCTCCAAATTACTCATAAACACAGTAAAATGAGGATGGCTTGAAGACAGTAGAACAAAAACAAATGACTAACATTTCAAAGTTCTCTCGGCGTGACTATCACAAAAAGTGCCAGGATGACACAATAGTTCAATCACCATGGACTTTGATTTTGTTGTGCATTGCTATGTTTCTTGCACTCAAAATAAACTGATTAGTCAAAGCATAATCTGTTTTAACACACACACTCGTTTTAACACCATCTCCTCTTGTTTTAATTTTTCAACTTTCTTTTCTTCTTTCTTGTTAACTTGTAACACACACTGGCATAGTTTGATGTTTCCAGGTTATAAATATAAACATAAACAATATCCATCACTTTCAAACTCAATAAAAACAAATGCATTTATACATTCATTCAGTTGCTTATGAGAATTTATAAATTTAATAAAAACATATATTTTAAATCATATTTAATATAAAGTAACAATTATAACAGTTTTGTTAACTAAACAATGAAAACGCATTGTTGCAACACTTTGGCCTCATGGCTTCAATGAAAGACTTGTTTCAACTCTTTTCAGCCGGAAAGTCTGGTGTGGTTAAACCGTGATATGCTAGTGATCCATTAGTTCAACTAGAGTGATGTCATAGCTGTCATCCGAATCTCCTTGCTTTATTTCCAAAAGGAACAAGTCCTCATTGCAATAGTACTTGAGCATGTCATTGTCAATTTTGGCCGTAATCCTGCAAAATAAAAGTACTGACTATTAAATTGATGCAGTATTATTTAAAATGAGAAATTTTACTTATGCAGCATTATTAACTGTATGAAGCAAAATTTAATTATTGAAAATTATAAACACTATATTAGTGTATCTGCTTTGTTAATGGTGGTTAGTAAAGCCATCTTGTACAACCATTGCAATTTATATCTATATTAGTATTGCTTGGTGTCCAAAATTTCTACTTGGAGATCTCTCTATCCTTGTACTGTTGGAAAAGGTGCATCAACTACTTTCATAAATTGTCACACACGGAAGAATCACTTAACTACAAAAGAATCTAACATGATCAACTACTGACTTCAATTAAACTTACCCTTTTTTGTTTTTTCGATACAAGTTACTAATGCTTGAAGTAGAAATTTTGTACTTATTCTCAATCTGGAAAACAAGGAAAACAGATTAATACTAACTGAACTTCTTCAGTCTGTAAGGATGTGGAAAGGAGAGGATGAATAGGAATTTTCTCTAAATAGTAGGAAAGTCCTACAATAGTTTGAGAGTTAGTTTTTGTTGCCCAAGAATTTTTAGCAACATGCTGATTAGCTACCCTAGCCAGTAGGATGCATTAGTACATGCAGAAAGATGAGGCCACTTACCAGATAAGATCCAGACAGAAGCACAGTTAGTAGATATACCTTTAAGGATGTGAATGAACATGCTTCAATAGAAGCTGCTAAGTCACATTTACAAGAGTTCTTGCCCAAATACTAAAGGTAAACAATAAATATACTCTACTCTAACTTTGTGTGTAAATGACATTTTTGTAAAGAGACCAAAACCACTGAGAGCTAGCCAGGAGACAGATGGCTGTGTCATCTACTTTTGCAATTTAGAAATTATAGTTATTTCTATCAAAGAAACTATCTTGAAATTATGAATTCATATTAAAGAGCATGCAATTTAGGAACACATAGTTCATAAAGTTAGAAGCTAGAGATGAGATAATTTCTACTGATATTAGAATTTTAGAGAATCTGCCTTCATGAAAATACCACTATGCAAGAACTACAATGAATATAAGTACACCCAGGTGTTCACAAATAACTATAGCTGTGTGCTTTAGTCAGATATAAAAGGAACAGAAGTAGTAATTAAGGCAGGATACTCTGGTTCATACACACAAAAAAGTTTCAACTTAGAATGTAACATGTACAAAATACTGTGTGTTATTTATACTGAAATTATTTACATTAAAATCAAAAAGTGATACTATTAAATGATAATTTATTTTCAAGCAAAACTCGTAAATAAACTTCAAATTACTTTTAAATTGTTCGTTATGAAAAATAGTATCCATTTAATTTGACTAACTTCAAATAAACATTGATATAACTTGTCATTTTCAAATTTTGTGATTATCTTCTCACTCACTTCTATCATTAAAACAGAAGACTAAGCAACAGCTTTTCTTTTTTAAAATTTATTTTACACACTCACAATATCTAATTACAGAAGAACATTTAAAAAAACAAAACAAAAATATCACAGCTCTACTTACAGCATTGAGCAGTCCCTGTGTGGAAGGTGGCACAACATGTAGGGGGGTGTAGACTTCTTCTGTTTCTTGCCTCACATAGAGCATTACTCTCTCGCTGAGCGGAGGCGGGCCCACATTTCCCGACAACAGTTTGTGTCGCTTCTGCGGTGGACAGGCAAACACACTGCCATCAGTAGCACCAAGACCAGCAGCGGCATCCGCTAACCCAGTATCTTTCTTCTCGCTGAAACGATAATTGAAAAATCAGTCTTAAGAAAACTGTGAAAACCACCTTCAGACTGCACACACTATTCACATTCGACCATCTGGGTGAAACAAGACCTTTCCCAAACTTTTTTCTATGAACTGGACCAAAAGAGATCATGCAAAGGAAAATGTCCCTTAGCCCATCAAGTGCTCGTGAATATGCAAAGCATTCCACCGTGATCCAAAGAGGAAGGTAAAGGAAAAGTTCGTCCAGACCACATGAAATGATTTGGTACCAAAAATGCACGAAAGAGTCTTTAGATATTTCCAAAGATTGAATTGCAATGACTGGGTGTAGTCAAGACCGTTACCAGATTTTTCGGCGTGGGGCGGGGAGGAGGGACCGACAGAGCAATGAAAACTAATAATTTGCATTATAATTATTGACACCCCCCCACCCCTCGACACCCGTCTGGGCACGGTCTTGGGTGAAGTGGATGCGTGTTGGAGCACTTTCCCAGACCAAGACTCTTCGACCACAACGAGACGTCAAGGGATTTCTTTCTTGAAGAGAATGCAATATCTCAATTTACTTGGGCATCTTAACAATAGTAAATTTTGGGGGAACTAAAAATGCCATAAAATTCCACGAATTTCCGAAAATACTAAAAGTTGTGATAAGGTAGGCTGAAATGCTTATGTGAAATGGATTTTTCACGTCAAAGTGTTCTAAAGCGTTTCAATATATTCTAAGCACTACTCACTACCAGACATTATTTAGCAGTTGAAATGTGTAGTACACAAAACGTAAAAAACGCTGGCGATCTTCTAGTGGTTTGTTCATTTATTGAAGATGTCAAGACCACATAGGTTTTATACTACGTGAGCTGATTATGGAAAGTTGTTACAACTTCCTTGTGTTTATGTATCATAATTTTGTTCGTTCTATTGATCGGTGATCCTTTCTTTTTTTAAGGTTCGGAAAGCATTTGAGGAAGACTTGATGTCAACCTTTTCCTCTGAAAAGTAATAGGAATTTTTCGCTGATTACCATTGACCTTCTTTAAATCAAGGACAAATGGCAGAATATTTCAGTGCAAAGGAAAACCTAATTTGAAATCGTCTATGGACGAAACATATTTAACATCAATAATAGAAATAATATGCTACCGCATGATAACAAAAATCGCCCGCAACAAGAAGAATGACGCATTCAATTACAGATTAGCACAATTGATATTCGGTTATCCACGAAAAACATTGAGAATGAAGAAAAATTAGACGAGTGAAAAGTAAAAAAATATACCAATTTAAGACGTGAACAATTCGGCAATTGGAACATTTTATTAATGGAATATTATAGGTTTTCATAGAAACCGAGAATGCTAACAGAAAATAAGGTTCCAAAATTTGTATTTCGACTTATCAATATAAAAACACAAGCGAACACCATATCTAATCATTTTTAAAATCCTTTCTCATTCACGACGCAAAAGGTGAGCCCTGAATGATTATAAAGGTGCACGGAGGTGTTACTGATGCCTTGTTATTATATACCGTCTGTATGTATAATTGTCTTGTTATTATGTCTTGTTTTTATGCATCGTCCACGGCGTGCGCCCGCGTGCCGTGAGGTGTTCGGGGGAGCCAGGGGTGCGTGAGCGCCCACTTCGGAATCCTTACCCAGGTACGTCCGGGGGAAAGTGATTGTGGAACTTGAGAGTCGGCGTGGCGCTGGGTTTGCTGGAGTGCAGGAGGAAAGGCGAGGCGTGCTTCGCGAGCTGGCCGGGGTTCGTCCCGCCCGCCTCTCCGTTGGACAGACTAAAGCACACCAAACACACACATCATGAGACTCGAAGCATGCGTCACCGACCCCGCGACCCCCACAGGAAGCCACTGAAGCTCAAGTCACAGGAGGAGAAGGCCAAAGTTCAGAGAGGAAGCACGAGAGAGTTCTCACCTAGAGCCGTCCGGGTCGTGGCCGTAGAATCCCAGCTCCATGGACGCCAGCTGGAATAAAAAAAACAACACAAAATGATCATAATGTTACGACAGAAAAGGTAGAACAAAAAAAGAACATCGCGAGATGAAATTGGATTCAAATTCTGTTTCGAATTAACATTTTCGAGACCGTTCAAACGTCACACGCTCGATAATCAATACGAAATTACCAAATTTTGATCTAACTTTGTCTTTGTTAAGGTCATACGAGCGTTTTTAACAGAAATTATACAAAAATAATTGCTCCCCTCTAACAAAAACTATTTGCAAAGGCAAGTCAGATTCAGATTTTCGCTTGTATTGCTTATGACGTCCTTCATGATTCTGTAACATGCCCCTAGTATGAACAACATTAACTATTTTTTATTATTAAAAATGTGTTTCTACTAAGGGCACTGAAGTTTGTTTAATTTTGAGATTAAAATATCTGAACAGTAATATTCAATACACAGTAAAAGTGTATTCATTTCCTATTCAATATCTCTATTTTTCATAAAACAAAATAATTTATCGTACAATTATTGACCTGTGGTTTTCATTAACTAGTTAGAGGAGACACAGCGAATGAATATTCAATACAAGGGTACCGAGGTACTCTCGAACAAGCTCTACGTAAAACTCTCAAACAACTGCCTCCGTTCCCGTAAAGGGATATTACAACATTTTTATTGCTTACCTTGTCGATGTCTTCGGCTGGCGAGAAGAGTACAGGAGGCTTTGTGAGATCGCTCATGCTGTAAAACTCTGAGCGTTCTGCTGCTGGGTGATACAATTCGTCTAGCTTCTTGCGCCCTGTCGCCGTCATCTTCCTCTTGGCCGCGCGCCTCTCCTCGTCACGTGTCTTCCTTTCGGCTCCCTGCGCACGCACGACAAAATGGCGTCAGAATGGAACAGGATTTTCGTTATTGAGACACAGATTTTCTCAGAGGTATCCAATTAAAATCCACACGTATTGTAAGATTAACTGAAATAGGATGTCTAAAGACATTCGTCTGATCAATATGTTGTTAACAAGCTGGAAATATTTACAAAATCAATGTCATTGTCCCTAAATGTTAATTTTCACCTGCATTGCTCTTCGAAATCACAAGGGAGGAAAGGATATTTCGATTTTAATGTGTAGCTAATCAGAGTCTTCTTTCATTGGGTAACCAAAATATTCGTTTTCTTAAACTAAAACGAAAAAGAAGTAGACTCAAAGGGACAGCGCACGTTTTGCTCATTCCAATTCGGTCTTCTCACGGTCGCTTACACCGTTGCAAAAGTAATTACTTTGAAGACTTTTATGGCGAGGCCGTTGCAGAGGTCGAACTAACCAGATCCTCAAATTTCCAACCAGTCCGCGACGAGGAGTATTCTTGCTCCTCGCCGAAGTGTTTCTCCTCTCCTAGTCAAATTGCCGAGGTCTTCAGAAGGGATATATTTGTAAGAGATTTCTATTTCTTAGTGGATAATCGGTATATAATACTGTTTTTAATAAACGGAGAAAGTCCATTGCAAATGACTGTCGAGTGCACTTAAATACCAGGCATTTGCAGTACGTAAATTGTTATTCACTGCAAAACATATTAAACATGAATAACTGTACGGTATATTTAGTGCAATAAAACTGTTTTACGGAAAGATGCATCATTATCGGTGCAAAACTTCTGAGATCGTGAATAAATATCGGCCAAGAAACTTCACATCCTACAGTACCGATCATTAACTCTTCGGGCTACTTTGATCCTTCGAGAGCCATATTCGCTTCATATCGCGGAACTCCTCCACGGCTAATGGTTCGTCCCGGCTCGAATTCGGAGTCCCGCACCTCAAGGGCCACGGTCGAAACCCGGGGCAAGAGGAGGGGGCGGAAGGTCGGAGGGGAGAGAGCGGTGGGACGGGGATGGGGGAACCATGAGACGGAGGTGACAGAGGGGCGATGGAGAGGACAAGCGGGGACGGAGGCCAGGAGAGGGGGGGCTAGGGGGAGTCGAGCGGGACCGTTCCGTTTACGAGGGCCCTCCCCGGGAGTTTGGCGTCGTAAAACGGAGGGGGCCGGTTCCGCGTTCCTGCGTTAAGCCCAATATTTCTGCGTTTTAATTTTTCTTTGTGGCTCTCGCGGGGCTGGGCAGGCGTGGCGCCGCGGTCGGCGCCTTCGCACGCGAGGAGGTGGCGAACCCGCGCCCGCCGGCCCGCTCCGCCGCCCCGCCCCGCCGCCGCCCCCGCCCGCCCCGCCCCGCCCCGCCCCGCCCCGCCCCGCCCGCCCCGCCCCTCCGCCCTCCGGAGGAGCGCCGGCGACGGCCGGGAGGTCCTCCGCTCACCCGCCGAGCGTTTTTGCAGGCGCATCCTTTCCCTCGCCATGTGCTTAGTTCACAGTGATTTCAATACGCGGCAACAGTGCGTTTATTTTTTCATGTTATTCTTTGCGAAAAGTTTGAGAAGTAATCTTGAATTCATTTCAGATTTTCTCGTAATATCAATATGGTATTACGTCTCGTTATTCTTCCGTGTTATTTTAACGAAATACTTGGTTAATAATCTGAAATAGTAAGCACACAAAAATTGAGACGAGAAGAGCGGAGGTGTTTAAAGCGAGTTTAAATTAGGAAGAATGGTTTAATGCCATCTGACACCAGGCTGCCGACTCAGCAAATTATTGAGATGAGAGTGAGCAAACATGAGGACATTTCGAATCAAACGTAGACGATAATTTGTAATATTTTGCCGTTTAAGCCCCAATCTATCTTAGCATCTCTACAATATTTTAACTCATCACATTTAGTGTATTCGTAAGTGGAGACGGTTCCACGTTTAGTCCGAAAATATGAGAGCATTGACGTATCTCCGGAAGAAGAAAAAAAAATCATATGAATCGTAAAACTCGAAAGCAAATGTCGCATATTTATTGACTGACAGCAGGAAGCACGTGTTCCATCGCATCCAATTCCATTCGTTCTAACGACCGACTTTGACAGTGACTTAGCCTCACGGAACAGATGAACTCATCGGAGGCTGACCCACCTCCTTAAATACCCCTCCCCAAGATCGAAGATTCATTTATAAAGAAGCCAGCCGGCGCGTTAGACTGTCAAGGGAGGAAAAAATATGTAAATGGTTTTTGTACTAATCTCACGGCCTCCCAGAGCACCCTGCGCGCTCGACCGCCCGCGGGGAGCTTCTTCTAATGATCCACGGGGCGCCGACGGCGCTGCGCTTGGACTGAGCGCACGCCCGACTCACGTCACCACACGTGACCGCGTCCACAAAAGAACGAACACGGCTCAGTTTCTCGTCCGTTCATGCGCGCATCGGGGTTCTTTCCCTTTTTTAGTTTTTCCTCTTCTCCGTCTTGCAGTTGTGTGTTTTTGAGCCCGCGCCATGCCGTGCCGCGCCGCGCCGCGTCGCCATGGCGTTTCTACCGTCTGGGTGAGTCGGGCGCGGGGGCAGCCATCTGATAGGCCCGCGGGCAGGAATGCTCCCTTCATAAAACGTTGCTGGCCGGCTCCGAGGGCCTTCACAAAGGCCCATTAAATTAATTGCGTTCCCGCATGTGAGGAATCCAGACAGAGAAATTATTTTAAATAAACATTCCCATGCCTAGCGCGCGCGACAGCTCTTCACCGGGGGGGGGGGGGCGTCGTTGCTACGTCGCGGCGACACAAATTCGCCGCTCCACTGTCACTTTCTGTCTGAGATGCATTTGCGAGGAGGAACCACGCTTCCAATTGAATATATCACGAGCAGTCAGCTCTATTAACAAATATTACAAGTTTTTTCTTGTCGAGAAACAATTCACTCTTGAATATATTAGAATACGTTGGAATCGTACATCATTGAACTATATATTCACTTGAATGTCCTAGGTGGAATGCACGTAACACGTTGTTGGGCACGAAAACATTTTATGTAGTTTGCTTTGTATTATTTAATTCAAAAAGATGTGCTTATAACAACGTTATACTGCAAGAAGCTCCCATTATACAAAAAATAAGAAATTGTTGAATATGCCAAATTTTACCTATTCTTTACACAAAAGTTTTTTAGATAATTCAAAAATAGCTTTTAGGTTGGAAGCGCCGCCAGGTATAGGTTGTCCTGCAATTGTTCTCCCCGACATCGAACAATTAAAATGACCAAGAACAGCGAAATTGCCCACGTCCGCCGCAGCGCCCGGAGCCCTCCCAGGGCTTTTTACGTCGCCCGGCTCTGTCCAGCGCGCCGCGGCCGCCGCGCTTTTCGTAAATCGTCTTCCTCGGACCGTCTTCTCCCTCCCTCTCGCCCCGCGGAGAACAATGCGGCCGCAAAGAAACGTCCACGAGGCAGGCGTATACGCGGCGGCGCCTGCCGGGCCTGTCAATGAAGCGCCCGCTTTCTATCGCGCGCTTTTTGCGCCCCCGAGTGGCGTCTGCAGGGCGAGCGGCCACAATGGAGGCGAGGCGCGCGAACCCGGCGAACAGATGACCCTGCCGCCCGGAAACGGCCCATCGCCGCCGCCGCCGCCGCGGGGGTTCTTTTGGATCGCGACCTCCTCACGATGGACACGCTCTTTGCAGTTAATTTGTGTTATGACGAAGCCGCGTTTCGACCGGTAGTGAGATGCGAGGTTAGATTTTCAATCAGATCAATGGTGTTGCGGTTTTTTTTGGGGTGTCGGGGATATAGACATGTGGAAAAGAAGGTCGCGGAAAAAACAATGTATCGTAGAGTGATGAGCTATCTTTTTCTCACGTTGTTCGAAGGACGCGGTAAGATAACACAGATGACGTCGTCTCGTGTCAAGGAGTAATCGTTGGAAGACGTAATTATTCAAATACCTCCCCTCGACATCCACGCAACCTTCCACATACGAAACGAGAAAAAAGGAAATTATCCGATGTTTCGGGGGAGGTCCATCTATTACCCAGCCGATAAATTAGCGATTCAAAGGCGACCTGAGGGAGGGAGGGAGGGGAAAAAGGTGGAAAAATAACACGGGCCCGGGTGCCAGGAGGTCGAGAACGAGCCGATTCAATCGGATTCATGCGACGTCGGCGGCGAACAATATATCGGCGGGGGTCGATATCGGCGGCGGCGATCGAGGGATCGACCAGGGAACAATGGCTGCGCGCGAATTTCTCCTCATTAAGATGCAGATCGCACCTCGCGGGGACAGAGGCGCGCCCCCGCGCCTGTAATTGCAGGGATGGGAGGGGGAGGGGCTGGGGCCCGCGTCCCCGCGCGCTGAGGGGCGTTGCCGCCCCCGTGGGCCTCGCCGGAGCCCCCCCCCCCCGGCGTCCTCGAGACGGCGCCTCGTGATGGCTGCAGCGGAGCACGAAGAGTGAGCAGGTGGTTTTAATAGCCATTAATTCTGAATGAACGTTCATTGAAATGTTTCTGACGAATAGATCACATTTAATTTAATCTTAATTGCGAGAAAGGTGCGGTAATCTAAGCAGAAGTACATTGACAACGCAGTAATCTAAGAAGAGATCGACGAAATTGTGGTGCGTAGTTATGATCTGTAAGTAACAACTCATTTTGCTAAGTTTTCACTAAGCAGATAGGTGGATCTCGACTCTACAGGAGAAGTAATTGCAATGTAATGTACATAGTGGAAAAATATTGGGAGATTCTATGCGCTTTAGCTGTGGCTCAAAGCCAATCTTTGAAAAAATACAGACACTCATTTTCCAGAATACATTCCTTCAAAGAAAACTACATTGCATTGCAATAAAAAAATAATAGTCGCCTAGAAAAATACTATTCTAAGCAAAAGTGTTTCTCAAATACTTCAGTCGAAACAAGTAATCGGATAACATTAACGATAATGTTAACTGGATATGAAAAATGGAAACAACTTCGCAAAACGACCTGACTGAAGGTTTACGGTAAGTA